ACACACACATAGCTGTAATTGATAATAGTGGTTTTTCTCCTTTTTCTGGCAACAAAACTGAAACCTTTTTACAAGGAATCATGTGTGCATTAACCACAATACTTGTGGTCAAAATGCAACAAAAAACGCGCTTTGATAATATATGCATTGTCCTTGAAACTGATTGGTCCACACCAAAGACGGCTTTCTTTTTAGCCTCGTCCTCTGGTCTTGCACCAATTGAGACGAGGCTCAAAAGAAAGCCGTCCTCTGGTGTGGACCAATCAGTTTCAAGGACAATGCATATCTTATCAAAGCGCGTTTTTTGTTGCATTTTGGCCACAAGTATTGTGGTTAATGCACACATGATTCCTTGTAAAAAGGTTTCAGTTTTGTTGCTAGAAAAAAGGGGAAAACCCCTATTATATTTTGGTACTGGCAAAGGAGGTCTAATGATAGAGCTGTAATTGCTTTATTTATTTTCTTACAAATTAAAACCTTTCGCCTGGAGATGGAGCATCTTCGTTTGCAAGCGTGTCCAGGGTGTCGAGTGATACGTACGTAGCAAAGACGTAATGACACAGAAACATGTTTTAAACTCACGGGAATAAAAAAAACAACGAGCTAATGTTTCTCATGATTGCTTGCCACGATGTGTGTGCAGTGCAATGAATGCACCACGCCTCCGTGAGATTCTCTAATCGTGCCCGGAAGACAGCAGCTACATTTATAGTTTCTACCCAATTCATATCTATACGGAGGAGACTACGTGAAGACGAAGACTCTCCGCGATGAGTAACCATGATGCATCGACATCAGAGGCAAACATCACACGTTGACTCCCGTCAATCACGTGCATGGCACACGAATTATTCAACAACAAATACCGCTTCAAATCAAAGCGCAGTGTCCTCGCATCGCTGAGGAGTTACAGGATTACAATTTCACGAAAAATGCACAATTATGCACTTGGGACAACGTCGTGAACGGCTGTAAGCAACAGAATTTCCGTCATTGATTGATACACACCGCGACATCACGTCCTTGGCAGTTCCCACTTGAAGTGTATGAAGCAGCGGCAATATGGCCAATGGGGATGGCCAAGAGAAGCAGCCCGTGGAGTGGGGGATTGGGGCGTGAGTCTGATGGCTTCGCTGGGCAACGTCGGCTTTTCTTTCCTCTCTTCTCCAGCGTAATCTTCCAACAACATCCCGCTGCTTGTGTTAACAAGACTCATGAAGACACATCCCCGGGTCGTAATCTCCGTTTTGAAACATAAATCACGCAATATATGCGTACTGTGTGTGTGTGTGTATATTTTGCTCTCGGTGAAGGAGCATAAATCATCACGTGAACTCCGGTCATCGAACAAATGCGGTGGTCACCGCATTGCGCGCTGTCAGATGCGCTTCTGCGGCCGTCTGGAACGCTCTTCCTTCAGATATTAGGAAGCCACTGGAGCTATGCACTTTTAAATCACCTAGATTGAAAACTAATTTATTTTGAACTGCTTTTTGTGGTTAGTTTGTTGTCCTTCCCCAGCACCTATGAATGAATAGTATCGTTGACTATGTACGGTGCGAAAGAAGTTCAACATACATACACTCCGGTATTACTTACTAAAGTGTGTATTGCATTAAATAATGTTTTGTTAGCATTTAAATGTTATATGATACATTCGTGTAGACAAATCAAATAAAGTTAAATATGATATATTTCCCGCGGGACACATGATAAGTTTTTCTTGAGGCTCATGGTTCTTTCACAATGTTAAGCATCTCACGGGCATGCTATGGATTCTCACAGTGTTTGTTGTTATTGTTTACCTGTTGTGAATAACTCACTCGGCCCCTATTTGCCGCAGTGCACCAGCGGCTGTTGCCGAAAAAGTGTTGTCTTTACTCACAACCTTTCTATGAGACAAAAGCAGGAAAACTAAACAAAAAAACGAAACTATTTTTTATTTTACCAGGTAAGGGCTCACTGAGCTACGTAGCTCTTTTACAGAAGCGGCCTGGCCACAAATTATAGCTCAACGAAGTGGCTTATCGCGTGGAAATTCACAGCAGCCAAATACTCTGAACGCACGTTGATTCTAAATGTGGAGGGGAAAACCGGAGGACCCGGAGAAAAATCCACGCGACCACGGGGAAAAGAGACATGCAAACTTCAAATATACATGCGTCAGGGTCTGGATCGAACCCACGACTTCCTGTATACCGGGCGAGGTAGTTAACATACCAACTACCCGAGGTTATTGTGTGGGGTTCTCTAAGTGGTGTGCATTCACCTATTGCTGCTGAGCAAACTCATTTAGTAACCTCACCCCCCTTTTCTCAAAAAGTGGACTCCCCCTTACCTGTCTGACAGTTTGTGCCACAAAATCTTGGAATTTTATCTCAGTTTCTTGGGGGTCTTTTGTCTCAGGTTCCTGCGTTTTTTTCTCCAAGTGTTTTTCTTTCAGGAGGGGTCTCATTGATTTGACCCCTTTGAGATTGACATGTGTAATGCTGTATCAGAATTGGGGTGACATCATGTGTAGGACATTTGCTGCTGCAAGGTTAACTAACGTCTGACACCATGTGTGTGTTTTTTAATCTACAGTAATACCCCAGTTTTTACTTCCGGGATGCGTTCCTGAAAGGCGCGACGACGAATATCGTAACGGCGTAAATCGAAGCGATTTGCGGGGCAGTACGTGGAGGGGAAGGTTGAGAGGCGACGGATAACGAGACAGGACGGACGATGCTGTCAGCGACGTAAGTGTGGGGATTGGGGCAACGCAAATCAGGTAGCGGTGGTAATAATAAAATGACGACGTATTTGCGAAACGACTTAAAAGGGGAGACGTAAATCGGGGTATTGCTGTATTTATATTTTGGGGCCTCAATATTTCAGAGGTCTGTGTCCAATGTTTAGCTCTCAACATTAAAGATTTTAAATCAAAGGCATCACAGCGTAAGAAATGCACGAACATCCAAGGGAAACTTTGTTACAGCATTACCGTTACTGTTTACAGGCTCCTTATATAACAAGCGGCATCGTGAGCATTTGTAAACCAACGTTTAATTGAAAGCAATTGGAACACGATGAAATCGCACAATTATATCTATGTGAACCTATAAGCAAGTGTGTGTGCATGCGCTAATGAGCAGGTTTGCATTATTGTATGACAATTATACAAAACCATAGGCGAGTGCGTGTGTGTCTGTGCAATGGTGGTGTCGTGGTTAACGCACTGCGACATGAACCCGGTGATCCGAATTCGACTCCCGCTCACAGCCAACATCAGTGGCGAATATCTAAAGCGGTCCTGGGCCTCCTCTAGGTCGACTTGGCCTTAAACGAGTATTTGCTGCAGTGCATAAACATCAGCACTGGAGAGGCAGGTGGACGGGCGTGGTGTTGGTCACCCAGCGCCTTGTGTGCCGTGGTGATGTTCACGGGTGCTGCTCGTTACCAGCACTTGCTCCAGCAGTCTGCTAAAGGCTATGCGGGGGAGTCTGTCTCTTTTGTGGATGTCTGTGCATGTGCGAATGTGCAGAGTAGTCGTGAATACTAGGCACGGTGCAGAAGAAGTTCAATATAAATACATACATGCACATTCTTGTAAATCAGTATGTGAACCTTATTCTGGGCATGCTTTCTGTTGGCATGGATTAGCACATTCCTGCGAAGGGAGCTGGTAGGAACGTTGAGTTGCTCGGTCAATGGCCAGGGTCAACGGCGGCGTGGTGTATTCCGCAAATATGCCCGACTGTGAGGGCGGGCACAAGCCGGCGTGAGTAGGTTAAACGTTGAGTTTTATAAGGGCACCACGGGGTGACCAGCCCCTCCCCACCCAGCCCCACTCCTCCCACCCCCCCCACCCAGCCCCACCCTCCCCACCCAGCCCCTCCCACGCTCCCCACGCAGCCCCTCCCCACCCCTCCCCACCCAGCCCCACCCTCCCTATCCAGCCCCTCCCCACCCTCCCCTCCCCACCCAGCCGCTCCCTCCCCACCCATCCCCTCCCTGCACGACGGAACGACACAATAATCCCCTGTGGGCTGGTGTAACCAGGAGGTTCCTACCAGTAAAATGAGCATCTGTGAAGACAAAGGTTGCCTGGTGTGATGCAGGCAATACCAATCTCTCAGAGGAAGCACTCTCCTTGATTTATGAAGTTGAATGACGGTATTTCATTGTGTTTCTATGTGTGTACATGTGTGTGTTCGAGTGTGTGTGTTTGTGTCCAGGTTGACTCAGCCTCAAATGAGTACCTGGTGAGGAGTGTAAACATCGCCACTGGGGAGACAAAAGCGGCCGGGCGTGGTGCTGGCCACCCACTCCCTCGTGTGCCACAGTTCCAGCCTTCACAGGTGCTCGCTAACAGCACTTGCCCCAACAGTCTGTTACAGCTATACGGGGAGATCTTTGTCTTTGTTTTGTTTGCGGCAATGCTAATGAACAAACAATCATTTAGGCGGCTCGTGTTGGCAGCTGCGGACCCCCACGTGCGCTCAACATGCACTCTGTTCTGCTATAACGGCAGTTCGTGCTCCTGAAGAACACCGAGTTATGGAAACATCGCGTTATAAGCAATAATTTATAATGTAGGCTAAAGCGCAGTCCGCGATAACACGGCAGATGCATATGCAGGCTGAATAAAGACTGAAACGCTTGGGTAGCATCTACAAGCATCCAGCAGCATCCCGCCTTGTAGTAATGATGCGTCGCCCAGACAGCCGTACAACCGCTTATTCCTGCTCACGGTGACGTGATTCTGTTCCCTCAGTCACGTTGTATCCAATTCACATCGGCGTTATAAAAAAAAATAGTTCTCTAATAAATTCATCCCGTTTCTATCCAATTCTCGTTATGAAAACCACACGCATTATGGGAGAACGGACTGCGCATGTAGCCGTTGATGCAATGCACGCACGCACAGGTGTACGCGCGCATTGACTCGCGTCACCGCCACTTAGTGGCGAATGACGGTCGCGGTTGTTGTGGTTGTTGTTGACTGGCGTGCGACTCACGGCGTGGAAGTTGCTGTAAAATCCCAGGGACGCAAGCGGGAAGTTGAAGAAGGGCTTCATCGCGAGGCCGGAGCGCAGCATTGGCGCGTGAGCCCGCACCACCGCGGGCATCCCGCCTGGCTGGTACGCCCCGGCTAGGGCAGGAGTGGGGCAGATGAACACAATGCAATTGTAAGCGACTGTCGTTGTTCAAGCTTCATGATGCTGTACTGCACATTACCCTGGCAAAGAGGCGTCTCCTGAGTTGCCAAGAGTAGCACAGCAAGCGGAATGAATTCCGTCAGCAGGGGGATTGAGGGTTACCATCCCCAAACCACCCAACGCCCCTTCGCATGCGTTGGCTTTGTCACGGTCAGAGGTCGCAACCGGGTACCCGATACCCATACCCTGCCCGATATCCGGCTACCCGTACCCGGCCGGGTACGGGTACGGGTAGGCCGTGAGTCACTGGTGAGTAACTGTTTGTCACTCTTCTTTGGTTCTTTCGGTTAAGTCACGTCTAAAAAAAAATATTTTATTTTTAGACGTGACTTAACCGAAAGAACCAAAGAATAATTCCTGCAGTCACGAAAGCTCCAAATTAAGATTGTTTGTCACTCATTTCCCAACGTCTTGTCTCTTCTCACAATTCAAGTTCCTAGAATCAACCCACCCGCGCCTGCAACATGGCCTCATCCCAGAGGTCGCAATCAGGTACCCGATACCCGTACCCTACCCGTACCTGGCCGGGTACGGTTAGGGTACGTTTACTGCCGGGTACGGGTACCCGCTTGCGAGCCTGGTGCGGCCGGGCACGGGTATGGGTAAGGAATCAAAACCCGTTTGCGACATCTGGTCAGGGTACTCCGGTTTCCTCCCATGTGAATAAACGCTGAATAATGGATTTGGACAAACATCCAAATATAGGACCGCGTAGCTCGGGCAATTGTTGAAAGCAATTCTGCCTGCTTTTCTACTTGTCTTTGGTTTGCTGCACCTCTGAAATAATTATCTATCTGAGAGAATGAAAACTGCACGTTAGAAATTATAAACTATTATTTATCTTTTTGTCAGAAATACACGTTGACTTGATGATCATATTCCCATTATCTATCTGGGTATACATATATATACACCATAGTTGCAAATACAATTTTATATTAGTGTTATCCAAATGTTTTTTCTTTTTACAATGTCAATATTATGGATGGCATTAAAACCGCTAACACACTACTTTTCATGACCGTGTTTCTCTCTCTCTCTCCGGGCAGGCAAGGCTATAGCCCACACACCATTTGGCCAGCCGGGCAGACTGCCCAGAACTCCGTTGGCAGCTGAGAATGGGAGGCAGTAAAATGAATGTTGGGGACGTGTGAGCGCTGCAAGCGTCGGTGTGCGTGTCTGTGCGCGCACGCGGGCCCATGCAATTCACCGTGGGCACGTGCCGGCACATACATATTTTTACCGTGCACTTGGTCCGTGCCCTCATTAACGTGTAACTGCATTCATACGTTCCTACCTGCATCGCTATAAGATCGTGTGTTAATGCATACATTTATGTATGCACATTTGCTTGCATGCATGTGTATTAAATGCACGCATGTACATATGCTTGTGTATATAATTGCGTGTTGCATTCATTGCTGTGTATTTTAGCATTCAGAAATAATTATTCCGTATGTGCCTGGATGCAAGGTTTTTTTTTTTTATTACTTGTGTGTGTAGTGGTTACCACGCTGCGCTATGAACCTAGTAACCCGAATTCGATTCCCATTCACAGCCACCATCAGTGACTGTTATCTGAACCGGTCCTGGGCCTCCCCTAGGTCGACTCGGCCTCAACATGAGCACCTGCTGTAGTGTGTAAATATCGACACTGGGGAGACAAAGGTGACCGGGTGTGGTGCTGGCCACCCACCCCCTCATGTGCTGTGCTGGCTTTCATAGGTGCTCACTAACAGCACTTGCCCCAACATTCTGTTAAGACTAAACGGGGGAGGGGGGGGGGTCTTTGTCTTTTGTATCCTGTATATGTGTTTTTGAGTTTGTGTCAATGTGTCAGCACCTATACTCATGGTTTTGGTGTTCATGTAATGCCCAAGAACAACATGCTCTTACAGCATAATTCTAGTATATGGCTGAAATCGTGTATGCCACCTGTGTTTTTGCATCTACGAATTACATGCGCAGAACTCTGCATCTCGATGTGTTGCTGTTCTGTTTGAGACGTTGGGGCTGGCACCACACTTAAAACATTGTTCCTTAGAGAAAATTAATATTTAACAAAAGAAATCCAGTAGTTAAAAAACATTTGTTATGAAAACACAAGTAGCAAATTCCAATAGAATCGATCAAATAAATCGAAGAGAATTGATTTGGGACACTTCTTGTCAAGCCCCAGATGCGATGGATATTTTGCCATCTAATTTGCCGATTCAAGCCACTCACCCATTTACAAATACAGGCAATCGTCGACTTACAAACACCCGCGCCTATAGGCTCCCCCACTTACGAACAGTTCAACTTACGAACGTGTCTCAAGAACTAATCGTCTTCGTAAGTCGAGGACTGCCCGTACGGGATTGGCCTCGTGGAGAGAACGGTCGATCGTCCCTTGGCGAATTACAATGTGGTGTTTCAAAGATATTTGCACAAGGACAATGATGATGTAAATGACTTCTTCTCTCCTAAGTACTGAGCCTGTGACGTTCAAATATTAATTCCGACGGTCGCGGAGAATATATTGATCATGATAGCGATTATAGGCATTGGCTGATGATGATCAGGGTGATGCACCTTGATAGACGCAGGACAACGATGATTACAGTGTAGACATTGGCTGGCTGGTGGTGGTAACAAAGATGGATGACTCCACTCGTTATAAAAAATTGCACCAGAAATGGACACCGTTTCCCGTCTTTCGAAACTGGGAATCGATCCAGAAAACGGTTGCCGTGTGTCGTTTGACAACCCTAGTTTGATGCAGTGTTTTGATTTGTGCTAAACGTACCCTGCAGCGTTGGCGAACGGCTCCTACTTATAACATCTGGCATAATATAGCAACATTGGTTTAGAAAGCCTGACTCCGGTGATGAGACCCAGAAGGTTGAAGCCAGTCCAAAATGTGCCTGCCGAAAACAAATGTTCTGATGAATCATTGATCTTAGCGGCAACTCGGGATTAAAGAGAAGCTGGCTTTTGTTCACTTGTGTATTGCTGACAGTGCTTCACGACCAGCGCATCTTCAGTTTTGATGCAGGGGTTAACTCGGGCTGTCATCCCTCCGTCGAATTCCAATGGTAGTATTAAAAAGAGAAAAACTGGCTCACGCCATGGAACTTCCCGAGTTCGATCTATCCAACTCGAAACAGCTGCAGGACAGGGCAACGGAAGATGCGGTCACCTCCATCATCGATGGAAAATGAGAAACATTCGGCAATGTGACTGCTGCGGTTAACCAGAGCCAGACCATGGGTCACGTGATCCCACACTCTGACCCCTGTGCTGCCGGTTTGTTGTCCTTCCCCCGCATCTCCGATTAGCACAGTGGGACAGAAATTCAACATACATACACACATACATGATCCAGCACTGCCATGCCCTCGCTGCCGATTCAATATCATCGTCAACTATCAAGGCTCTACAAAGGCTAGCGCATGGCCCTATAACCTCAATATACACATTCTTCTTTGCAAATTGCACCTTACCATACAAAATAATAACCATGGAAATGAAGAATGTGTTCCACCACTGGCTCAATGCCAGCAATGAAACCGAATGCTGCAAAATGTCTCTCTTGAGTACAGAGAGATGCTTCGACTATAAGTTTTGTAAATACTGTAGGCCGCTTTCAGAGTTATTGCCATACCACTCGAAAAAAAAGGCAGGTCAATGCAACTGAGTTTCGTGCTGAATTATTCCCGAGAAAGGAAGGGGAGGGGAGGTGGGAGATGCAATAAACCTGAACAGCACCTCAGTGATCCTGCAACTTTCGCCTCACGGGATGTGTGAAGCGTGAAACGCATTTACTCAATCGCCACTGACCCTCTATATTCACAACATTCATTTCTGACTTGTGACCAGTCATCGCCGTCATCATCATATGTTGCGACGCTCGTGCACATTGCATACGCTATATTGTATACGTGCACACTACAAAAAAAACATGAATTTGATCTCAACGGCATTTTATATTTTTCTACAATCTACAAAGATGTGTAAAGAATTCAGCTTTCGTCACGAAGAAACTCACAACAGAAAATGTACTGTGTATGTTACAATTACCAACGGGGATGTTCAATTTGCAACTATAAAACAAATGTGGAGATGCTATGTAAGCCATACGTGTGCCTCAAATTGGATTGTTGTGTCTAAATGTAAATTAGATCTTAGAACTATAGTAGTAGCTCCATTGCAGGTCAATACCAAGTAGCACTCTGCACTGCTGCTGCTGTCATGCATGCCACATTAGCTGCGCTTTATTTGTTCCAAACTTAATTTAGAGTCGAGCAAAGTTTGGAACTTGCCCTGTATCCGTCTCGGCGAGACCACGACTGCTGTGTTATGACAGGAAAGTGTGTCCCTACCCTGTAACTCCCATGCATGGAATATTCATTGAATGAGGACTGGGTTCGCAAGCAGCCAAATGAGCACGTCCAGTGTCTTTTTAATTAAAAGACATAAACAAGCAAGATGCTATTAGCATCTTGGCCAAGTGATTCCCGCTTTTGGGTCACATCCAAATGGCGTTGAGCTGTTCCCAGGCAATTTCTCAGCCCCAATGGCGGGCAGTGAGTGCTTCAATGCAGCAAACGTTCCATGGAGCTGAGTACGTGTTAATATGATAAGTAAACAGCATGCAAGATGTACCGTGACACACGCATTACTCGCACTACACTTTAATAACCATTCACGGCAATGAAAGAGTTTAAGTGCGCCCATCCACGAATGAGCGATGAGCATTACTCGATTCCATTGGAGGTTCCGAGATATGTTGGTGGACATTTCACAGGCCTACAGAGGGTGTTGTGGTCAGCACTGTGGACTTCCAATCCAGAGGTCACCGGTTCTAGTCAATATCCCAGAGCGGCAGTTAAAATAATGTGGCACCTTCCTGGAATCTTTCCGCCGCTGTCCACCCAGCGTAATGAACAGG